GGCTGACCTAAAGCAAAACCTTCGTCTCAAGTCTGCCACGCTTGCGCATTCAAGGCGATTCGGTAAGGCTTATTTATATGACCGCCTAAACGGGAACTTCCCATCCAAGTCACAAAGGACCCCTGTGCATAATTCCAAGTAAGGTCAATATTCCCGTGTTCTAATCCTAGCATAAAATGAGACTGTCATATTAATCCTAACGCTAGATCCACTCTAAATCTAAACCCTATAGGTAACATGAAGATAACATAATCGTGACTCTAACCCCAACCCTAAACCTAACCCCTTATCCTAAGCCTGACTGTCCCGGAATTCGGCGCCAAGCCACATGTTTATTGTGGGCGCTTGGTGTTACCGTGCCTTGTTTAGGCGGCCATACGAGTCATCCCTACCAAGAAGGTTACCACAAGAGAGTGCCTCCATTCGGACACTGAGTCCGGTGTAGTTAAACGAAAACTTTATACAAAAATTAACTTGTGTGCAACTCACGAGAGTAAAGCAATTCCATTAAGATGGAATTGAGAGAAAGTGCGTTAGCCGGTGCGCAGTTGACCAACTCTCGGACAAAATCGAAGGCAGCCTCCAGAACATCGTCCGGACATACGTAAAGATTGGTCGATTCGAGAATAACGGCGGAAACACCGGACTTAGATTGCAACGACTTTCTCAGCTGACGCAATCGTTTCGAAGCCGGGAAAATGCAGGTTTCAAACAAAAGCTACACATTTGAGAGAAGAGTAAGAAACAGGTGATAATAACTAGAAAAAAAACAAGGACTTCAAATAAACTCAACTAATAACTGTATGCAGGCAAGGATCAGGGTTGAGTAAGATAATAGTTGTGAAAAGATTATGAACCACGGAGGAGAGTAGACAGTTCTAGAAGAAAAAGTAAAAAAAAACCATAAGGGAGAATGCGCTTCTAAGTAACTGCTGAGTTTGTAGCTTCTCAAAAGCCAAAATTACAGTTCTGGAAACTATTTCACTGCGCCCAGGGGACGGTTCAATCGCACACAAGTAGAGGCCTGTTACCAGATCACGTAAGTGATGTTAAGAAGCTGGGATGGGATTTGATTTGATCTCGACTAAAAGTATGTGATAAAGATGCAATTGGGTACAATTCCCCCTCCCCGCTAATAAACCATGATCAGGAGACAGAACTAGGCCAAATCGTCCGGAGATGAAACAGGGCATACTGCCTGACATAATATCAAGCCTTCGTATGCATATGCCACAGCACAGCTTGTCCCAATGTCACAAACAAAGTAGATTACAGACAATAAATTAGGGGCAATAGATTGGGCCAACCGGGCATCCTCGTATGGATTTGCCTATAGGCGGAGACCGCCACCAAGATTCGGTAAACTACGCTCAACGCATCTCCCTGGAGTCAGAGATGAAAGTTGGGCACCCCAAACGAGGTCAGAGTGCAATGGCCGATCAATACAGCTAAGGATTTGCTGTCTATTGTTCGATATTACTAATACCCGGACATCTAATACACATGCATGATGCAGTTACGACAATATATTGGCTATGGTAACTGAGTTGGTGTGACGTACCCTGAGCATCTGTTTGTGAGTCGGGTCAACATCTGCCTCACCAGTGCGTGGAGTAGGAGTACTCGACTGTAATAGCGCAGTACAGATTCGCAGATGGCTCCGAAACAGAGCTGGCATAGAAACGTGAGGGGGCACAAAGACGGCAGGAGAGGGAT